AGGGACCAGCTGTGTCCAACCTGGGAGCACTAAGCACACAGCCTTTAAACTAAATACTTGCTGTACAAGGTTGGTTATCAGCAATGTTTGTTATAAAGTCATTTGTAAATACTAAAATACATTCTAAGGATACAGTGCCTTTTTTTCCCTTCAGAAGAACAGACTAACTCTACAAAACTCCAAATTTTTCACATCTATCTTTCAAATCATTCTTATTAGGATAATGCTATTGGGACATAAACATGGAAAATAGGGAACTGGGTAGCCTGGAGAAGATCTTGTCACTCTCTACAGCTCCTTGAAAGGAGGCTGTGCTGAGGTGGGGGTTGGCTTCTTCTCTCAGGTAAGAGCAATAGGTTGAGAGGGAATAGCCTCAAGTTGCACAAGGGAGGTTCCGGTTAGATATTAGAAAAAAATTATTCTCAGAAGGAGAAAGCCATTGGCACAGGCTGCCCAGGAATTCAAGGAATTCAAGGAATGTGGAAATGTGGCACAGAGGGACATGATTAGTGGGCATGGCAGTGATGGATTGATGGTTGGACTAAATCATCTTATTAGTCTTTTCCAACCTCATGGTTGTTCTCTATGATTCTATGAACAAGTGAGACTCATTGGAGTTATAACAAAAAAGTAGCTTAAGTAGTTAGGACGTTCATAATTTTAAATATTGAAGTTGTTGATTAAAGTAAATGTGTGATTTCCATAGGATCAAAACCAATTACAATGGAGAAATCTGCTGAACCTGTACCAAACAGTAAGATCTGTTCAAATGAAGAAAGAGAAAAATGATCACTGCTAAAGCTAAACTATTGAAATGCTGTCAAAAGGATATATCAGGGTAAGCAAAGTCAGATCCAGCCAGCCAGCATTTGGACATAATTTAAAGTAACATTTGTACTAAGCTGATAATGCCAGGCTGTATACTGCAAAAAGGCAGTGGTTTGTGTTCAGACAAAGCTAGGCTGTGGAGCAAACAAGGACTTCTTATGTCCTAAACAATACATTTTTGGAGCTGCCAGCAACCTTATCCCCCAAAAATCTCAACTCAGAAACAAAGCAGACCGCTGCAAAATTGCAGCTCTAAATTAATTTTGAGTGGTTTGAGAACATTTCTGGAACTGACTAAAGGAGGCTGTTTTCCTGTGACTCATTTTTGCCTGAACTCTTGCAGTTTCCACATCTTCATCACCCTCCTCCCTACGCTCGTTCGTCAGGCTCTGTGGGTTAAGGACCAGGAATGCATCTCTGTCTACAGCTGCAGAGTTTGCTCCCAGCAGCACGGGAGCTTGCTCCTGCAGTGAGAGCAACAACTCAGCAACACATACAGCCCAGCACTGCACAACAGGGAGGACATATGTCTTGTGGATGAAGCAGCACTGTCTTTTTAGTCATCACTTTAGCCTGAATGTGGACTGGAGCCTCATGGTTTATAAGACTAAAGTGTAATTCAACCTCCTCCTCCTGAGGTTAATTAAAAACACAGTTGAGCATAAAGCTGTGACAGCACTCAGCTGCAAGTTGTGTTTGTCAGCAGTCCACATCTAGCAAGAGGGACCTAAGAGTTATTTAAGCCTATGATTGCAGGTAATTACCTTGCCAAGCAGCCAGAGAAAAGCTGATGCTTATCATTCTCACTCTTGCATCATCCAATCTTAATCACCTTTTTAAAAAATGAGTATTGTAAGAAAGCAAGGCTCTTCCCCCCCCCCCCCCCCCCCCCCGTGAACTGCTGAAAAGATTCGGCAGCTCTGCTCTATTTAGCTTCCATTGGGAACATAGGGCCTACTTCCTCAGAGCAACTGTAAAAATCCCACCCAAAGTATGACAAAGCACATCCCAAGGGCCACCAGCTGCCAAAGGGCTAATGCAGATACATGCCCAGGGCAAACGATCACCATCGGCAGTGGATCTGCATGCATACACTGGTGCATTTGACAAACATTTCCTGAGTGACGTGTCATTGCTCTGGTGGTTCTCAGACATTAAGATCAGGAAGAAGCAGAAAGGTAGATATTTTTATAATGCAAGTAATATGTAATTCTTCTACAAGGAGTAGCATACATCGTGGCACAAACTTAATTTTGATCTAAGAAAAATAATCTTTTCTCAGTGATCTCCACAGCCATCTTTTAAAGGTATTATATTTTAAATGCATTTCATGTCAGTTGAATCCTCCTACTGTATTTCCCCTTTGAATTCATAGTTCAGGGCTCAGTGGAAATCTTGCTAAAGGCTGATTCAGAGAACAAAGGAATCAGGTTATCACCTTTCCAAAGGAAAGAGAATCCTTGTGATGTGTGCTGCACTGCAGCCCAACCGAGCTCCAACAGCTGGACAGTTTTCACAGAAGCCACAACAGGCACATCATGCATGACAAAGCGAGATGCAAATTATGCTCCCCTCTTAAAACCTAGTATGGAATTTCTTTTATCTTGTCTTAATTTATTGCAAATACCGAAATTATGTTTCAACAGTGGTACATGGAAAGTTAAAACTACACTATTAGAGAAATTTCAGGAAAATAATTACAGTAGTCCCAGTTTGGCTTGAGGCTGTGAAAGCTGATATGCCCTCCAAACTCTAACAGACACTGTTAACCTCACTGGCTGCCCCTTATCTCCAGCCACAGCCTTGTGGTGAGTACTATGGCTAGGATAGCTTCACTACATTTTCCCATTTTACATGAAGGTGTTCTCCATTCTGGCCTTATACATTCTGCTGCTCAAAGAACAGTTTATCTGTCCTTATTTCATCACATAATGCCCTTGGCCTCTGCTCTTACCCTTCTAATGAGCAGACGATGCATGGGCTTTCCCCAGAGAGAAGCAAGCAAACTGACAGGCAGCACCCACTTGCTTGTTTATAACACACATAGGCTGCCTGCTCCACTAGCAGAGCGCTTATTTCTGTCTCCTTTCCAATGTAATCCAAATTTATGACACTTCAAGGAACTTAATGTCCTCAAGGTTTTTATCTCTCCAGTAATTTAAATGGGAAATTGGAAAAAGTTCAAGAAGTTATCAGGAGCTGAAAGAAAAACACAGGCAGCATGGTCTCGACTATCTCACTTCCTTATGAAAGAAAAGGAGTAAATCCCACAGAAACCTTACCAAAATCCTGGGAGTTCTGGAAGAATGACTGCTAAAAGCCTGCAGGGATCTGCCTGGTGTTCCCTTGGGTGTGCAGCACCACAAGGCTATGGGGATCTGGATGCTAGAGTGCAGCTCAGCGGGATTGGCATCAGCAGCATGCGGTGTGAAGAGAAACCTAGGGCTTCCTCCTCACCAGTGCCAAGGCAGTGCAGGATTTCCTCTCTGCTGCTTGCTGCATGGTAGCAGGGAGGCAGGGAGATAGAAGTGTAAAGATATGGGAGACCAGAAAAATAAAAATAACAAAGAAATCTATCAGTGTGCTGCCTCTGTTTGAAAGGAAAGATTTAAATAGAAATAATCCCCAGAAACTACCAAGAGTTCAGGTCATCAACTAACAAGCAGGTTAATTCCTAAGGATTAATGCTTGAAATTATCATGCCTGACAAATGTTTGCTGAACAGGAACGAGTCCAGAATACTCAGCATGAAAGCAAGTGAGAAGTAGTAGTGCAGACAGATACATGTCAGAGATGAGAATTTTAAAAATTGTCAGCTCAACTGCTACCATAATTATAATTTCCTCTCTACCCACTTTATCTTCTCCTTTTTCATTTCCAGATCTTCAGCGGGAGATTCCCTTTGCAGGCTGACACACTAATCTAGATTCCACCCTCACTTAAAGCTGTGCCATGCAAAGTGGAGGTCAGCTGGTATTTGCAGGCAATATAACTGTAGGCCCTGCTTGGCTGACTGGAATACATTTTGCATCCATTAACCATCTCCCACGATGGAAAGCGTGATTAACTCTATTCCTGATTCCCTGAAACTGCTGGAAAATATCAAGCAGCATTTTCCCTCAGTTAATGATAATTCCTTTGAGTACTCCTGCTGTTAGGCATTCTATGAATTAAAATCCACTGGTTTGGTCAACCCATTCATTGCCATTGGAAGCATCCAAACAGTGTAAATCCAGTTAATGTATTCCAGGGCCAAACTATATTGCACGCACACTCAAACTAGTGTACATCCCAAGTGAGTCCAAGTGGACAACAAACATTTCTAGTTTTACAGTTGGTGCGCATCAGATTTGTGCTACATGAGCAACATCCATAAGAGTACAATGAACGTAAGGAAGAAAGGTGGAGAAAACAGGGAAAAGGAAATATGGAAGAAAAAAGTTGGTTCAGATTCCACTTCCAAATTAGAAGTTAAACAGGGAGAAAACAATGTCCTCTCTTTAAATTTCAGCAAGCAGAACCAAGCAGTACACGCAAACAAGCATGGGAAAAGATGAAGAGAGGAGAAGGGATGGAAGGAAAATCTAAATGGAAGATCAACAATGGGATAGAAACTCTATATTGGGCTAACACTGTGGAGTTTCTAGTTTAACTGAAGACCAGCAGTTCAAGATCAGCTGCAAACCCTATTTGAGACAGGGACCCCAACAGAGCCAACTGAGCACGGAAATTTGTACCACCAGTAGTGAAAAATGACAACAAGCAGAAAAGGAGTTAGTCATGGTGTCAGGGCACTTCAGGGAGGGAACTGATAAACCATCTATTTTCCAACTATCTTGTTAGGCTTTTGCTAACCTGATTAATCCTCAGAAATGATGCAAAGTACATCAGCTGGCAGGCTAACAATGAAAGCAAAGGAGCCCAGCAGCTACCCCAGTGACTTCAAATAGCCACAGCCCAAAGGCAGAAAAGGATTAATCTAGCAATCAGGAACGCAGCATTCCCCATAAAACTTTCTGCCATTTAGATCAAAGCAAAACATATTTTAAAAGGAAACTGTAGTTTCAGAAAAGCATGGCAGATGTTCCTACCACAGCTAACCTGCCATCTCCTTACTTCTCTATGAAGAATACTACTGACAGTTGATCAAGGAATTCAAGTATTTTTCTCACCCCTCAGACCTTCTACTGTTTCTTTTGTGTTAGGAGACAGCATTTCAGTGGCATGTTCTTTAGCCAGACCTGTCTTAAAAAACAGATTCAATGATTCTGTAAGAAAACCAGCTGGATGACTTCAGATTCCCTGACAGTCTGTAGCAATGCAAGGTAAACACTTCTGCAAACACAGGAACCAACACCTACACCAAATATTCAAGTTGTCCCCAGTACTGGGCCTGGATGTACTGGCAGTGGTACAGCTAGGTGTCAGGCTTTTTGTCTTTCTGGTACAGCTGCACTCTGCAAACAATGAATCATTAGGTACAGCCTAATGATTTAGGTATATCAACTCCAAGCTGAGCACCTGTAAAACGAGGCTAAGGCAGGCAGTCATTATGCTCTGCCCCACTTGAGAAGAAAAAAAGTATTTTGACTTTACTTCTTGGCATTGAAACAAACAAACAAACAGAAAACAAACAAAAAAAAACCCACACAAATCCAAACAATGATAAATGTTAAATCTGGTTTGAGGGAGATATGGATTAGATTTTAGTATAGTTGCTTAACTGAAAAATCATCTTACAAATCCCCAAACTAAGATGAAGCTTGCAAGAGCTTCACAAATACCACAGTGATAGACAACATAGGAAAAGGCCACTACGAAAAATAATTACCTGTGGAGCACTGAAGCAGGTTATTAATGTTTGGGTAAATTCCAAAGTACTGACTAACTACAAATTTTCAACACTAGCAAGGCTTACATTAAAAAAAAAAAAAAAAAAATCTGTGACATCTAAAGTATTGGGATTAAGTGATTAAATGTGTCCACGTAATTACTCACAAGAATGTTTTTAAAGCACCTTCAGCTCTTTCATCAGGCAACAAGGGCTACTTTGCTTGACTGTGGAAAAAAACAAACACAAACAGCTCTCCTTCATAATTAAGTATTCTCACTACACCCCACAGGTAGACAGGTAAGCAGCTGAGGCAAGAAACAAAATACTGATGAAAGCAAGACCTTTGGGGTTGCTGATAGACCCCATCCCAGGCAGCCTTAGGTAAGTGCCACTGGATGGTTGAGGCTTACAAGCACAACCAGGGGTGCCTGTAGGGGGAATATTTGGAGAAGTACTTTGCAAAAGGACAGGTGTTTTTACTTTTTTTCTTTGGTATTGGAGTTGGTACCTGGTGCTGCAGGCAGTACGGGGACACGAGCAGCAAAGTCTGTGCTGATAGAAAGGTTGCAAAAGCTGACCACGCGAGGGCAGCCAGAGATGGCATAGCTGTGGTTGCACTACAAAATCTTGCAGGTGACCACAGCTTGCCAGGCATTGCCTGCAACATACTCCTGCTCCCGGCCCCCCTTGGAATAACTCCTCATTGTCACTTCACAGAATCACAACAGCACAGAATATTCCAAAGTAGAAGGAAACCAGGCCAATCACCAAATCCAACTCCTGGCTCCATACAGCACTACCCAAAATTCAAATCCTCTGAGAGTGTTGTCCAAACACTGCTTGAACTCCAGCAGTTGAGACCTGCACCAACTGCCCTGGGGAGCCTGTTCCTTTGCCCACCACCCTCTGGTGAAGAACCTTTTCCTAATTACCCAGCCTGACTCTGTGCTGTCACAGCTCCATGCCATTCCCTCAAGTCCAATCACCATTAACAGAGTCTACATCTCCATTATTCTCTTTATTTCTTCTTCTTTGTCTCCCTTACCACTTATTTACTGATTCTACACGAATACATTAACTTCTCCTCAGACAGTGAAACATCATCCTGGGGACCTCCAACACGGGACCATTTGTCTGACAAGGACCTGCAGTGCAGTTATCATGAGTTTGGATCCAGTGGATTTTCTCACTGAAATCCTTCAGAGGAGAAGCTGTTATGCCTGGAATCAGATTTGAAAAGCCAGATATTCTGGGTAAAAAAATTATTTCTATACTAAAAGTGTTTTAAAAAGAATAAAGCAATAACTAAGGTCCAAGGACACGAGAAGAGAGGTAAAGATTCTACAACAATTTTAAGCTTATACACATAAGGAAAAAAAAAAAGAACCAGAAAGGCTCAAACTTATTTTCCCTTCTGTTAAGTTGAAGGTATTCTCTGTGGATTTGGGTCTCACACCAATATGCACCCACTGCCAAAACAGCTAATTTAGGAATAGGTCTATAATTTGAGAATACAAGGGAAAATCCAAATCTCTGCCAAAGCCAATGGCAACAGCGTCACAGAATCATAGAATGGCTTGTGTTGGAAGGGACCTCAAGGATCATCAAGTTCCAAACCCCCCGCAACAGGCAGGGCCACCAACCACCATATCTAATACTAGACCAGGCTGCCCAGGGCCCCATCCAACCTAGCCTTGAATACCTCCAGAGACAGGACATCCACAGCTTCTCTGGGCAGCCTCTTCCAGCACCTCACCACTCTTTTGGTAAGGAACTTCCCCCTGACATCCAACCTAAATCTTCCCTCCTTCCACTTCAAACCATTTCCCCTTGTCCTGCTATTATCTACCCTTACGAAGAGTTGGCTCCTCTCCTGTTTGTAGGCTCCCTTTAGGTACTGGAAGGCTGCAATGAGGTCACCCTGCAGCTTTCTCTTATCCAGGCTGAACAAGCCCAGCTCCCTCAGCCTGTCTTCTTGTCATGCTTCAGTTTGCAAAGCTATCCCACAGGTACAACGCTACCCACCTGCCTGAAAGGAGCCCAAAGATTTGTGGGTCTGACTGCTCTTCTACTAAAGCCAGTGGCTCTTTTTAATGACTATTAACTGCAGAGGTAGAAGCATACGTGAGTCTAGGATTTACTGGTGACAGCCACTGTATCTGAACAACAGATACTAATGCTAAGTATAACAAGAAATCTCCTGGCACATGCCATTCCACATGGGCCTCTCACTCATCCTGTGCTCCCAAGTATTACTGCCATAGTTACGAGAAGGCTTTCAGCATAGCACATCAGTAAAAATGGCTATTCTATCTTTTTAATACAAATGAACAAGCACCAATTAAGAATAAAACAAGCAACCTGAAACTTGGTATCTGATTTCCAAGCAAATTACAACATCATGGATGTAATTTCTTCTTGTGATTTCCCTCACTGTCCACTAGTACATTACTTCATGCATTTGTTCCATGAGATTTCAAGGCTGAGGTGGCAACTTAATCCTCATCGTACTACAGCCAAAACATGAATTCCCATGAAATCCCTTGCTATGAAGAGCTTCCTGTCAGGCCCAAGTCTTCTGGTAGGCATAACATAGATAAGATCCTTGTATTCACACACATGACAAGTCAGTCCTGCCAAAAGGAAACTAACAGGCCCAGATCATATTAAAAATAACCCTAATCTTCCTCAGAATACAAGCACTGTATTAGAAATCAGAACAGTCTAAGCTTTCTGTTCAGACAGATAGAGACATCGAAGATTGCTTATTAACCTTATATAAAGTGTCAATGAAAATGCCCTTCTCTGTCAAACAAGTTTACTACCTTATTTTGACATTGAGGTGTGGCGATTTCAGATAGTATGAATGGCCAGAGTTCACAACTCTATGAGTTATTCAGTTGTAAGTCAGCATGCTGCTGAGTCATCAATTTTCATAGAAGGATATCACCTACTTATAACACGTGTGTATACAAATATTACTATATAATTAGCCACTGACACAGCTGCCCAGAGAAGCTATGAATGCCCCACCCCTGGAGGCATTCAGGGCCAGGTTGGATGGGGCTCTGGGTTCTTATCTGGTGGGGGGCAACTTCAACTATGGCAGGGAGTCAGAACTAGGTGGGTTTTGAGGCCCAACTCAAGCCATTCTGTGATTCTATGATTAAGTGACAACAAGCACCTTATTTGCAATAGAAGCTGTAGTAAAAGATGAAAGATAGCTATCCTTCTTGAAGCTGTGATGCAGGTGGTAGGCTTGGAGCATCTACCTATATCACACAGGTATGTATGGAAGTACAGCTGCATCCTGAGCCCAAGCATTCAGAGATGTTTTTCAGGATGATGTGAGAGCTACAAAGAACTGGAGGAAACAAAAATGGCTTACCCAAAAGGAAAGGCAAGACGTTCTTGTCAGTCAGGCCAGTGTATGAAAGTCAGAGAGGACACATGCATTGGGAATGGTTCACAGATGTGGAAAACTTGTGACCAGGATGGGAGGAAGAGAAGAAACTGAAGTACATAACAGAAGAAAAGAATCAAAACCAACACAGGAAGGGACAAACATGCAGCACCGCACCCTAAGAGGCTAAATTCTATCTTCTTTGGGAGTTCAAGGGCTCGGGATCTGTTGATTCACAAAGAACATGGGAACAACACTGCATGTAGAGAAGAACTGTTTTATAGAGAGCCCATCAGCTGTGTCAAGTTCCACTTCCTGGCAGTTAGTTTGGAGGGAACAATGCTCCCATGACTCACTACGAGTTTGCTTCTTGAAATAAAAGTTGCCAGGGGACTGCAGCGGGTTACATTTCCTTACTTTCTTTACACACTTGGCAACCACAGAGGCCATGCCAAGCCAACACACATTTCAACTGCCCACAAATTTGAGACACTTTTAGAAAATGAAGCAGAACGTTTGAAAGGCAACCAATCAGCTTGTAAAGTTTTGCTGCGTTTTTCAAATTCCTTCTTCAAAAAATTGCCACTGCGTACAGAGGCTTTCAGATGACCCACGGAGGGCTTAAAAGTGGCATCCAAAAGCAGTAGTAGTAAGGAGCTGGTCTGATCAGCACAGTGATATTATTTTTCATTAGTGATAGAAGATAGCAGACAACAGAGAAGGGAAGCAATGCACTGCTTTAACAAACTGTAGAAGCATAATCTTGCAACCCTCATTTTTACAATTAATCACTGACTTCTGCAGGTTTCACTCTATAAATGTATTTGAGGAAAGCTATTTCTAGGAATGAAGTTTCCCAGAACTAAGACTTAAGTTCACACAAGTCAAACCGATAAGCACATGGAAATAAACACAGCGGCAGAAAAGGACATGGGAGAAGCCAAAACCTTACTGCGCATCGAGTGGGGGTGTAAAGGTGAGGGCAAACCGGGACCCTCCTCGCTACTCGGGACAGTGTTGCGTTAGAAGCCGGGGGAAGAGGATAAGAACGGGAACAGAAAGCGTGGGCACAGAGCGCCGCAGGAACGTGACAGCCACGGCGAGCAGCCGGTTGGCAGCGACAGCCCGACACCTGGGTAAGAAAAGTTGCAAGCCGCTGCTCGCGCTCTTACCGAGCTGCTCCTCGTGGAGAGATGAGGTTATTTTCTTGTTTAACCGAAAGGCATTAAATAAGATCCCGCTTGCTCCACTGGGGAGAGGCGCTGCAGGGCCCGCAGCCGCACCGTCAGCCAGAAGCTGCGCCGCGGGGACACCGTTAGAGCCGCACGGCAGGTTGCCGCAGCCGCCCGGGCGCAGGGTTGTCCTTGCCGCTCTGCGCTGTCAGAGAGCCTCGTCCACCCCCGCCGGGACGGGACGGGACGCGGGGGCTCTCCCGCAAAGCCCCGCCTCACCGTTACTCCCCGCAGCGCGAGCAGGCAGGCCCGCGCCCCACTCACCGCCGCGGCACCCGCCGCCGAACGTCCCTCCGGGGCCGCGGCGCTTCTCTCTCCGCTGCTCCCGCTTCGCTCTCCTTCGCTCGCTCACCCTCGGCGGGCCGCCCGGCACCGGCCCCGCCACTCAGGGCTGCGTGGAGTGCCCGCCCTCGGCCCTCCCCGCTGCGTCGCCGCCCGGCCCGGCGGGAGGCGTTATGCAACGCGGCGGTGCGGAGCGGACGGCAGGGCCGGGCCCTGGGCTGACAGCTCTGGAAGGGACTGGGTGGGTCTGGGGGCACAGGTGAGCTGAGCGTCGGCAATTGTGAAAGAAAAAAAAAGCCGAATTTCTCACAGAATCCTATTTGGGGACTTAAAGCTCTGCGAAGCACCCAGCGCTGTTAGATTCGTGACACAAACATGAATGTTCCCCAGACGTGCAGGTGGGCGCAGAAATCCACACCGACCCACGGACAACAGCAGCATGGCAGCTTCCCACCAGCTGTACGTGAAGGAAACTGCCCCAGGGCTCTGCAGTTGTTTGTTTGGGCGCATGGAGAGTTCAAACCGAAAGTTGGAAAGCAAAACAAAACCTAGCAAGCCAAAACCGTTGTTTGAATTAGGCGGTTCTTCTACAACCAGTCCAAGCGAGAAGTCGACAATATACGTCCTAGTTATTGTGGAAAGATCAGCTAAGAAAGAAAAAGAACAGAAGAGGCAGTGAGCAGGCAGGCGCGGAGCGGGCTCTCCTGGCAGCCAGAGGCCGGAGCCACGGACGCCTGGTGCTCACCTGCAGCAAGAGAAAGTTCTCATCGCGTGGAAATGGCCCCAGGGAGGGAAGAACGAACAGTCGTATTTGAGCAATAATACAATGTAAACAAACAGTAAGTTTGTGGAGCTTTTCTGTATTTCTCAAGGCACAAAAATGTTCTTTGTGAGAGGTTGTGTTGCTGCCTTCAGCCGCTGCAAACTGCTGCTCTCATCTGCATAGCGAGCAGAAAAACCGGGCGCTTCTGATAGAAGTCTCAGCCATATATAACAGTCCTAAGGCCAAGAGCCTCAGGGCACATCATCCAGAAGTGAAAACAGAACGTGCTCTGGGACTCAGTGAGAAGCAGAGGACAAGGGCTGTCCAGTGATGCCATCTCTCAGTGCAGGCTGGCACACACCACTGATGTCTCCTGGCCACATCTGCAAGCGTGGCCTCTGAGGACTGGCTTCTGTCCACAGCTTGGATTCAAGATGGTGCTAATGCAGCTCCACCTGGAATAGCTCAGTACCTAAATTGCTTCCAGGTCATGAGGAATTGACACCTCTCACTCACAGTGGAAAAGGATAATGCGAATTTGTGAGAATTATTTAATGGTAAGACACATGCATTTTTATAGTTAGTTAGTATAGTTAGTTCTGGCCTTGAGACACCGAACACCTGAGGTGGGACCTTAATTACCCCAAAGTGTGCCACTATGATCTATTTAAATTGTCACTGAGAGGGGAACTGGACACTGTATACCTCCTATGTTTGTGGACAAGGTAGTCACCCAACTTGGGAAATCTGATTTACTCCCTAGCATGGTTTTGACTTACTTGAAGTTCATATTAACAGCACAAAATAGCACCTACACCTATGCAACTGCTTGTGCCTCACAGTAAACTCAGAGTTGGTTATCTCTTAATCTTTGGAATATTGAGAGAAACCGCAAACATTCCAGAGAAGTTGAACTCCACAAGCATGCATGTAGAAGAGGTAGATGATAAAGAATAGAAAATCTGATCTTACAAATTTTCACTGGGAAAACTGGCTCAGACATTTAGGTACTTAAACAGTCCTTACTGGCAGTGATTAATTTGTAACAAAAACATTCCCTAAGACTTTGTACAACTAGATGTTTTAAGTCCAAAATGAAAACAGCCCCTTGCATTCAGAGAGCTTGCTGGTGGTAGGCAGTGCATTGTTATTTTTAAAAATCACTTGCATTAAGTTCCCCTTCTGTATTTCCCCACATGGCAGCTTGCACGGCTCTGATTTTACTACCTCCAACAGCTTTGTACATTCTTAGTTAGAAATATACACAGGCAAACAGCAGGCATTAAGTAAATGAACATTCAGTGCATTATCTAAACAATATAAAACTGCACACACACCACACCTAAATAACAACGGAGAGGTCAGAACAACTGAAATTAGAGTGAAAGGGTGGGGAAGCCTCTGAAAATGACAGAACAGAAGCTTAACCCTCTTTCATTGGAAGAAAGGAACATATATTTAGAAGCCATTTGCTCAGCCTCTAAACCAAACCACAAGTGGTTGTCAGTGAACACGCAGCATTTTCAGACATTTCCTGTGATGCGCAGAATACCCAGTGGACTGGGTGGGAAGCACCAAATAGTGCTACTGACACGCATATGTGTTGGCAGGGTTTACTGCACAGGACTGACAACCCACCACAGGAAGAACTGCAGTAGAAAAGCACTTATAATGCTGCAGGGTAACTGCTCTCTGTTATTAGCATAACACACCCATTTACCACACTCGTAAACGATGACAAACAAGTACTACAAGATATTAAGATGTTTCCCTTTTTGCTTGCTTGGGTACAGCAATGTCAAGTTGTTATTCATAATGAGTCATTTGGCAGTCCTACGGTGGGAGGAATAGCATTTATTGGAATAGTAACATTGGTGTGCAGTGTACCACTGACATATGTCTTGTCTTTAACATAACAGGTTTTGACACTTGGACTTCTCAGGGTTTGTTGTTTCTTTTTTTTTTTTGGTTATGAGAAGTTGTTGCACATGGCTTGATAGAAAGCTGCAGCAGGCGATGGTAGCAGTTGCTATAGAACACCTCTTCCTGAGTGGGTGAGGAACGAAGTGTCATAAAAAGCTCTAAAGCAACAAACTTCAGGAACAGCAGAGGAAGGTAGCAAGGAAGGTAGCAAGGAAGGTAGCATCAATTAGACAAGCTAATTGGTTCTGCATTCATACAGAGATCATACAGTCTTGGCATTTCACATTCTCCCTACTACACATTTTGACGTTTACCTTCTGTATAGATAGTCCCCACATCCTGGGCAGACAGACCACTTGTAGAAGGAAGTGGGACCTTGTGATGGAGGATCAGATGCCTTTGCAGTGCCTTGAGAGTGTTTAATGCTGAAGGGTAATAATATAACTAAAAATGCTTGCTAAGCATACTTATCTGGAGTCAGCAGGTCAGCAGCTACATACCACAAGTTCTTCCTCACACAATTCCTGTAACACAGGAATTACTGTACAGAACATCAAAATCCCCAGGAGAAGAACCCCAAGCACTTATTCTCTTGTGGTCATCAGTAGGCTATGAATGCTGACACTATGGGATCTCTGTGCCCCCCACTCCCAGCAGTGACTGTTTTCCCTAAAAGCTGTAACATTTAGGCATCAACAAGGTTACCACCTAAGCAGGAAATAAAGTTTCTAAGATGTCTACATTTTTTTCTTCCCGAATTCAAGATTGAATACCATAGAATGGCTTGGAAAAGGACCTTAAAGCCTACCTAGCCCCAACTACTTCCATGGGCAGGTTTGCTAGGTCCAGCTGCCCAGGGCTCCATCCAAACCGGTGTTGAAGATCTCCAGGGATGGAGCCCCCGCAACTTCTCTGTGCAACCTGTACCAATGTCTCACCACTCTGAGTAAAGCACTTCATCCTAACATCTCATCTAAGTTCCTCTTTTAATTCAGCCCCTTTATTTCCTCCTGTCATATCAACTGCAGCACTCAGCTTGGTGTTGTCTGCAAATTTGCTGAAGGTGCACCGAATTCCTCAAGCCTCAAACCCCCTCAAGCCCCAAGACAGCCCCCTGGGGCGCACGACTTGTCACAGATCTCAACCTGGACACAGAGCTGCTAACCACAACCCTCTGTATGCAGTCATTCAGCCAACTCCTTGTCCACCCTTCAAATCCATCCCTCTCCAGTTTAGAGTTAAGGATATACCCATTTCATTGAGAATTTTTCACTACTTTCTTCTGCTTTGTTTGCAATATATTTTGAAGCATACATGCAGGGTTTTTTTCCTACTTCCTTCCCCTCAGTATCTTTACAGTCCTTGTTGACCTATTTAAGCTAGGGAAAGATGTTAACATGGAAACAGGAGACTGTAAACTGGAGAATTTAAAAATATTTTTGAGAAAAGGAAAAAAAAATACTGCTTCTTCACTTGAAAATAGAAATAGAGAAGCTTGCTCATCTCACATCTTTTCAGATGAGATCAGACAGTGGGAGGAAGGTAGAAATGGATGTAGCCAGAGGTTATTGCATATGAGCAAAACTGTAGGGTTGCTTAAACCTGTATAGTTTGGAGTGCTGCACTTAGGAAGCACACACCATTTGTGAGTTGCATGGAATTCTCCAAATCATGAAAAAGGTGATCTCACAAAAATGTCACACAAATGAAAGCCAGTACTTTGAAACTGAAAATCATTTCTTACCTGTAGAACTTCATGTTCTTCTTTTAAGAAAATTTAATTAACTGATTTGAGCCAGCAGTGTGCCCTGTCAGCCAAGAGGGCAAACTGCATTTTGGTGTGCATTCAACACAGCACAGCCAGCCAGTTAAGTGGTCATTCCCTGCTATACTTTGTATTGATGCAGCCTCACCTAAAGAACTGCATATAGGAGACTCGGAGTGATTTTATCAATGTGTATAAATACCTGAAGGAAAGATGGAGAGAGGATGGAGCCAGGCTCTTCCTCTTCTCAGTAGTGTCCTGTGCTGGGCTGCTAACATAGGAGGTTCTGTCTGAACATCAGGAAACTCTTCTGAGCGCTGGCATACGCTGCCAAGAGAAACCATGGAGATTCTTCCTTGGAGATGTTCAGAAGCCACCTGGGCACCCTGCACTGGGACTGACTAGCTGACTCCAGACATCCCTTTCAATCTCAGCCAATCTGTGATTTTTATATTTCTTAAGTCGCAATTTTTATACAACTATTAATTTATGCTTTTAACTCTCTGCAGACCAAAAAAAGTTTGATGACTGTATTACAGTTGTAACCAGAGGCCAACTGTAGCCAGGTGCCTAGTATGCTAAGGAGTCTGAGCACCTAGAAGCCTACATGCTCTGGAGAAGCAACAACATAACCACACAAGAAAGCAGATGAGGAAGGGGATATGTTGACCTCTGCTTGAAAATGTGGAGGAAACAAAACCAAAATGGAAGGTTATGTTTAGGGGCATGCAGTATTAACTTCTACTAGCTAACAGCAGTGCCCCTGTTGAAGTCAGTAGGAGATAAGCCAGCGGAAAGACAAGACCTGTTGCAGGTTCCACAGGACCTGAAGCCAAATATCCTCAGTCCAATTCCAGCATGTTAGATTTTTTCTCTTCTCCTCTCCACACACCTTGTATTTTTCCAAGACAAATGCCAGAAGTTAGCTTTAAAAATATTCTCTGGAGTCCACAGGCTAAAACAGCAAAGACAACTGTTGAAATACAACATTCCACAAGCATTCTACTTTTATCACAATGAATTACATTTGGCTCTCCTTGCTCCCATTCACACTACAAACACCATTTTGCTATTTTTGTCTGTGAGACTCAGTCTGCAGTTATACTTTCATCTACTCTAGTCTCTCTGCCTCTAGAAATGCCAGCTCTGTGAAGCAACTTACTTGTTTGTATCTAGTCTTTTAAGGGACAAGAAACACAACCTAGAAAAAATGTCTCTTGTATGCCAGCATTTAAAAGAGGATGCAGTTCTAGGAAAAGTCCTTAATTTTATTTTCCTCCCTCCCCAGCACGCGGACCTTAAATCATTCATCATAGTGAATTCACCACCATAGCCTAGCACAGAACTACAAAAGAATGCAGATCAACTTTCTTCAGTCAAGTGCCTCAAACTGAAGCACAGTGATAGAAACCAGCTGCACCTCTGTCTCTTAATGACTCCCTCTACTAGCATCAAAACAAATCTGTAGACAAAGATAAAAGTCTACTGCTGGGGGAGAGAGCATAAGGATGATTCCAACATATCTGCTCTACTGTACTCTACAGTGCCCCATTAACAAAAAGAGATTATTTGAAGTCTGAGCTTTTCCCCAGGCTTCTGTTCATAGGATGCAAATACTTTTATTATTATTATTTTTTTTAATAATTAAAAGAAACTGCATAAAACAGGTCTCTGTATGAGACAAGCCAGTGCTACAATTAAACCTCACATCTTTTCAATACAAGTTTTTTTTTTTCTTTCATCTTGCAATTAAGTAGCTGCTGTACAATTTCAGATGTCAGAGGAAAAAACAAATTAAAACAAAGCAAGGGAGTTAAGCTACTACAAACTTCAGAGGATGAGCATGGAACACTGCAGCACTGAAACCCATACAAAAAAAAAATGTAAGCAAGCGAGAGGAGGGTGACTTTATTCTGCACAATTCTTCATATAATAGTAGGACTATAAACATCTTTTTGTAAGGATATACTGATCGTAACTGTTAATTTCAGTTTAGCTTCTCACTTAAACCTCACTTTCTTCTTCCTGATGTCACTTTATAGTGCTTTATATATGAAGTTTATAGCTAGAAATTAGTCTCAACATTTCCACATACAGTTGAGAATGACTCTCAATATTTGTACAGAAGAACTTATTTATGCCATACCCAATATAAAAATCACATTGATAATAACTGAAGACTCTCCAGAACAACTTCAGTTGTCAACTATACACACTTCTTGGAAAGAAAAAAAAAGGCTAAACTATTTGTAATGAAAACCACAAATCTTTATTGAAACACTACAGTACCATGTTTATACTGCTAAAATAAACTTATACTTAAGGTACATCATAACAATTCTGTCTACTTCACAAATATGCTGTTGTGTGCAAAATGCTTCAATTCAAAATGCTTTACTTGGAGAAACTTTTAATACAGTTGAAATCCACATGCGATGACATGCTTGGTAGTATCTGTCTTGTTCCATGGAGCACATGATATGGCCAGTGATGTTTATTAACATTCTGGTGATGTTTTTCCAACAGGTGTGACATTTCTCAAAATGTACATTCTTAATTAAAAAAAAAACAAAAACAAAACAAAACAAAACAAAAACCAAAACACACAACAGACTTATAGAAGAAGGCCACTAAGATGATCAGAGGGCTGGAGCCCCTCTCATATGTGGAAAGGCATGAGGGAACTGGGATTGTTTAGCTTGGAGAAGAGAAGGCTCTGGGGATACCTCATAGTGGCCTTCCAATACTTGAAGTGTATAAACAGCAGGGGGAACTGCTCTTTACAAGGGTGGATAGTGATAGGACAAGGGGAATAGTTCTAAACTGAGACAGAGGAGGTTTAGGTCAGATATTGGGAGTTTTTCACTCAGAGTGATGACACACTGGAACAGGTTGTCCAAGGATCCAAGGAGGTTGTGGATGCCCCATCCCTGGAGGTGTTCAAAGCCAGGCTGGATGTGGATCTGGGCAGCCTGGTCTGGTGGTTGGCAAGCCTGCACATAGTTGGGGGGGGGGGAGGGCGGGGCTGAAACTAGATGATTTTTGAGGTTCTTTTCAACCCAGGCCATTCTATGATTCTATGATTACTTATGGAGGATTTTCCCGGTAATAGCAATTATTATCTCAAGCGATTGTTGCACTATAAGATAAGGGAATTCAAAAGATCTAACCATCCTCGATGACAGCAAGAGTTCAGTTACTGCAGCCTGCCATTTTAGTGAAGTGTCTCAGCCAGGGACCCTCAGCAGGCACCTCTGAGCTGTCAGAGCCCTCTTGTGGACACTAAATACAAGCTTTTCTTGCCTCGCTGCAACTGAACAGTTTTCAAACATACTATCTTTAGCTTTTGTTTGTTCAGTACTTGACCCAATAATAGTATACTTGTGTTTAGCAGATAAATTTTACTTTCTCAGCTTTGTGCAATGTTTTTTTTTTTTTTTTTTTTTTTTTTTTAGACCGGTGAAAAATTCTGCCATTCTTAACTCCCAGTCAAAAAGAAGCCAAGAGATGCACAAAGCATACTCAGAGGTAACACTCCTCAACTTAGTATGAAAACTAGCATATACAAAGTTATACTTCCTTTGTAATAGTGAAAGACTCAAGGATTGCTATCACCTGCAAATAAGCAACAAAGGTCTGAAAGTCTCTGCTCAGGAAACAAAGTTGCAAGAAGCTTGCTTACACTGAACAGCAATTATACTCTATTCCGAAGTACACACCGCATGGTTCTTGTCACAGGACAGCTTCACAATTCCCAAAGCAGACTTAGTACACTCATCATACTGGGACTAATTACTTGGTACTAACTTGTACTATTGTATTAATTACTTTGACATCTAAAAAGTGTCTAATTTAAAGGTCTGCTCTCTAGGTTGAACATTTTACATTCTATTCCCTCAGTACAGGACTCAAAACACTTCTACTTTTATCATTAGCATGACTTCCCCCCATTAAAGGATCCAAATCCAACAACTGGCTCAGATCACCAGTTAGGTAAAATTACTATAAAAGTTTCACAGCTTCTTCTTCAGCATTCAAAATGTATGTATGCCACACAGATTTTAGCTGTGCAGTCCAGAACTGTAGGTACACTGAGCATTCTAACTGGTCTCAAAGGACAAGTTGATGTTGCCAGATGTTGCCCTGATGATACACCTCATATTATTCACCTGGCACGCTGAACAGGAGCTTCAAAAAAGCTTCAAGAGACAATAAAACACTTAAGTAGAGCTCAACTGTTATTGCATATAATAACGTTTCATTTTCAGGCTCTGCAACAAGTACGGAAGACATATCTGACTCGGACACAAAGAGAAGTCCTGCCCTGATAAGCTGAAACAAGCCTTTTCTTCTGATCTTTTCAACCAGCTGCCTCCCCTTCACCCCTGCCACACACACCCACATTTTTTTTTTTATTTTTCCTCCAAAGGGAAAAGCCTCCGTGACAGTATCATTCTTAGACACCTTTGTTCTTGTGTACGTATAAGAAACTCAAACCATCAATTCATAACCACTAATTTTGCTCAGCTGCAGAAGGTCTGGAAATGATTGAGTTTAAACTCCACAGTTTGAATAGGCTTTTGTTACTGTTTTCAAAATTGAACTGATAACAGTTCTTCTAACAGGAAGAAGAGCAAAACATCAGAAATCCCATGGGAGTTCCATTAATACTTCTCATGAACGGGTGATTTAAATCATTGTCTGGAAAATAAAATATAAGTAGTTTCAGTTTAGTCTAAAAGTACACTGGACAAGACTGCAAATATTTTTAATTGTGTTGCTATAAAAAATTGTAGTGGGCTAGCTGTTTTAAATCTTACCAGCAGTGAAAAGAATTTATCTACTAAAAGAGTGCTGCATACTTTAAAATACAAAAACATTTGACCAAACTAATCATTTCCTTTAAAATGCTTTCTGCCAAGCTTAGAATTACCTCACAAAGCCAATCTCACAACACTGCAACAAATAACTGAATTCAGGTACTTCCTTTTAACCCATTACTCAGGCTTCGAAGAAGCTTTCCAACATTTATAGCAGTTTTTAAGTGTTCAGCAGATATTACTCTATTTGCTAAACAATATCAGACTGCAAAATTGCTCTTACTGTTGATGGATCAATAATGACATGGGATAAGTCATTATCTCCGTGGCAACAGGATTGTAACTGTTAGAGGAACATTGCGCATGTTGCTGCTGCTGCTCTAACAGGCATGCCTCGGCTTCCTCGCACTGCTGCTCTCTCTGTAAGCCTGGTATGCCCAGAGTACCACCAACCAAGGGCATCTCTTTGACTACAGAGGATTCCACTGCAGCTGAGGTTATGCTGTTCCTGAAGGAGCTTACCCCCACAAGGATTTATGACCCTTCAATGTGATGTCTCCATTTCGCTTCTCTTTTCTTATTAACCATATCCTTGTGGAAATAGCTGGAATTAGACATGGGATTCCAAATACAATCAAGTTTCCATCACAACCTAATGTGTGTCTATTAATTTTTAATTGAGAATTCTAGTTCAGCATGGTAACATCTTTGCCTTTTTAATTAAATTTCACTTAATTCCCTTCCTGAATCTCCAGAACATTAAAGCAACAGGCATCTTTCTGGTAGATCAGAAGTGCCAAACTGGGCCACTTAGCCTCTTCTACATAAGACTCAGGGAGCTTCTTCATAACACATCAGTTTGACAAAGAAACAAAAATATAAAAGACATACATTTTGCAAAGATTAAACAAGCGTTATCCACTATGAATTGTTGCACATGCAGTGAACAACCTTGCTCTTTAATCATAACGCATAAATCACAGAAAACAAGAACTCTTCTATGTCTTGATCACAAGATGGGTTGGTTTCCGAAAGTAACACAGATGGCCGTTACTACTACCAAACGTTCAGACGCCATCCCCACAAAGCAGGGAATACGCTCAGATTTGTTACTTGCGGGACGCACTGCTTTTGTTCTTTAGCCCCACACACGCTCCCTCTTACCGCACGTCCCTCGCTGCTGCCAGCTTCCGCGCTCCGCTCAGCGCTCGCCAGGAGCCCGGGGGCTGCCGAGGAGCTCCAGCGGGGCGGGCTGCGCGCACGGGGCAGCCCCTAAAGAGCCTCTGCGCCCACCCCTCCATCTTGTACTCCCGGGCTCCGCTTTTATGCTTCGGCAGAACCGCCGCAGGACTGCCCTCTCGGCGAACAAAGCCGCTCCCGACCACGCTGCGGCGCTGAGCTCAGCAGGCCCCTACCCTGCCTCCCCTTCGCGCTGTAAAATAAAGGAAGGCGGCCACCACCCGGAAGCGGAAGAAAGGAGGCACGAGTCGATGACGCGCCCACACGGCTTCCCGGGATAAAGCAGCGCACCGGGAAAAAGCCTGACCGGTAGCGGCTAGGGAGAGGGCGGGGAGGCAGCAGCACCCCTCCCCCCCCCCCCCCCCCGCCATCCGATCTGCCTGGATTGACAGGTGCTTCTTCCAATATCGCTGCAATAACGCCGTTCCCTCCGCAAATAGGAAAGAGAGTGCTGATGGGAGGGACAAATATCACAGTACTTTCATGCAATTGGCTGTCGGTGGTGATCGGCGTCTCGTTGCACCTATGCAAAGGAGAAGTTCCTCGCGACCTTTCGAGCCCTCGGCCAATAGGATTGTAGTGCAGGCTCAGGTCCGGCGGTGCGGGGTGGGAACTGGCAGTGGACGCAGTCGGGTGGCCGGGGCAGGATGAGTGGGTCTTTGCGTGCGGCCCTGCGCCTGGGTGCCTGGGCAGCGCGGGGCCGACCCGGGCGGCGACACCTGAGCGAGGCGGCTGGAGGCAGCGGTGGGGCCGATGGCGGCGGCGGCGGCGGCGGCTCGGGGTCGCGGGAAGCAGTGGAACGACTGGTGCGGGAGCACCCGGTGGTGGTGTTTATGAAGGGCAGCCCGGCGCAGCCCCTCTGCGGCTTCAGCAACGCCGTCGTGCAGATCCTGCGGCTGCACGGCGTGGAGGACTACCGTGCCCACGACGTGCTGCAGGACCCCGACCTCCGGCAAGGTCAGCGGGCCGGGGTCACCTCCAGGCGCCCCTCCGGGCTGCGCACCGCCGGCACGATGGGGCTCGCTGCTCCGTGCTGGGTGTTGTTTGTTTTGCTTCGGCTTGTGAGCGGCTTGTACCCAGAGCCTGGGGCTGTGCATCGCAAAGACGAGCTCACGGGACGGAGCCTGCGGGTCGGGGTTCCGTGCCACGTCGCTTTCCCTGGTTCATAGACACGGAGGTCTGGAGCACTTCAAAGAAAGGTTGAGGGAACTGGGGCTGTTCAGCTTGGAGAAGAGAAGGCTTCGGGGAGACCTCATTGCAGCCTTCCAGTACTCGAGGGGAGCTTATAAACAGGAGGGAGAGAGAGTTTTTACGTGATCTAATAATGATAGAACAAGGGGAATTGCTTCAAGATAAAAGAGGGGTGATGCGGGTTTGGTGTTAGGAGAAAAATCTTTGCTCAGGAGGTTGTTAGGCACTGGCACTGCTGCCCAGAGAGCTATGGATGCACCATCTCTGGTGGTGTTCCAAAGCCAAATTTGATGGGGCCCTGGGCAGCCTGAGCAGGTGAGGGGTGACCGTAACCATGGCAGGCAGGGAACTGAGTGAGCTTATGGTCCCTCCCAAGCCAAACCATTCTACAGTTATCAGATGCGTTCTTTTCACTGTGAACAGTGTTGTGAAACCTCATGAATGGTTTGGACTTGGACCACTTTGTTCTCTGCCAGTTGGGGTTCTTTGCTGCTTTTGATGAAGTAAGATGCTATGTTTTGTTATGATAATTGTTTGCACAATAAATATTTGCATACTGTGCAAACGGTAGGAGCTATTCTATATGTGTTGTGGTTGTTTGTTTTACTTGTAGAAAGCCTATACTCAGTTCTTATGGCTTCCATTTTTCCCCTTTCCCTCTGATATATGAGGTTGACTTGAGGTTTTATGTGGCTAGTATTGCAGGTGAGTATTGTTAATTCTTCTAGTCCAAACTACACCAAATTGTGATTTAAATTTGCATGCTGTTATGCATCAAGTGACCTCAAGTGATTTGGTATCAGGCTGTGTGGACAACCAGCTTGCTGTAATACCAGCACTGTTGAGTTTGCAGGCTTGCCTGGCTCATTGCACTGTGGGATGAGCCAGTGCCAGAGGTGGAGCCTTGAAGTGCAGAATTACCTGAGGACACCCTTACTTTTGAGGCCAATTGCTTCCTGAAGCAATTCCTTTTATCCTGAAAAGCCGCTGTATGTTCACTTTAGTGAATGGCAGCTTGTAGCAGAGGGGAGAGATTCTGGAAGCTGTAGCTCTGTAGCTTCCCAAATGGGATTCACCAGTGACTGAAGCTCTTTGTCCCTTTTGGTCTCAGGTGCTGAAAAGTCAGATACCCTAAACATGGCACTTTCCTAAACCCTCTTCACGAACGTATTCTTTACTGATATGTATGTATGGGGATAGTGAAAAGATGTTAAATTTTTATCAAATATCTAACTAACACTTCTGCTCAGCTTAAGCATTGACATATAAACTGGGTGCCAGCGAGGAATGTAAGTATTTGCATATTTGTATACTTGTAGCACTTGTAATAAGAGTTTGCTTTTAGCAGAGGTGATACTTCAGGCACATTTGACTAGTTTCTTCCCTGTACCTACGCCACATTTTGAGGTTGTTATTTTTCATCTGTCCTATAAACTGATGTACCGAAGCTTTACCTTTGCTGAAATAAGGCAGGCTGTAAAAACATCTCCCCGCCTCTGCTTATCATCTGAAAGCACTCTCAGGTCTACAAAACTATTTACTAGTACTTATGTTGAATGATTTATATGAACTTGAGCTGAGGAATGTGTTTCCCTGACACAAATCCTTCATTTTGAAAGAGAACTCCATGCTCTCTCTTAGGCTATGGTTCCATAACAATTTATGTTTCTTCAAGTTGACTTTGCCACAGGTGATTCTAATTTGGCAGATCAAATACTGTGAGGCTAGTTCAGATCAGTGTGGTGACAGAAGCTTGGGGTTGTGTACTGGAGAAATAGTGGTTTAAACTGGTTTGAACTGCTGCAATTCACCCTCAGATTGTTTCCATTGTTTCTTTACATTATTTAAGTACTGGATGCTGTCACAGATCTTGATATTTCTTCCCACCTTTGGGCTAGTTCTTCTACCACTACTAATGATCTTTGTGGAAAGGTGATGCTTTTGTGGAGAGTGTGGTGAGAGTGGTTGCTTGACTCAGTTCTTTGATATGCTTCAGCATTTGTTAGTGCTAATGCTGGTTGAGATTTGGTGATGGAGTTCTCCGGGCACCTGTAAGCAGGGAGGTTCTGTAGCAGTTTGCACAGATGATGGTTTTGCAGTCACTGCAGTGTACTAGTTCAACTGTCAAGCTTTAAACCTGATCTGTGGAGTGTGGTTTTACAAGACAGTGTTTCAAAGGTACAGCTTCTGAAGCACAGAAGGAAGTACTTACCTGCAGGGAGTGGGAAGAAGCTCCCTGCAGTGTCTGTCCGTACTGCTGAAAGGTTAATAGCACAAGTGCATCCTGAGTTCAGCAAGCATAGTCTGGGCTGGCTTGCTTCAGTGCTGCTAAAGTAGTGTTGGTAAATGCCATATTAAACTAGGGACTGCTGAACAGGTTGAGGAAGTGTTTTGTTTGTAATCTGGTTGAGCCTGAATACACAGGTTTTGCCCAATGCACGGAGTGTGGCATGTGATGTTCATGTTGTCATCTAAAGTTGAATAGATCTTTAAAAGACCTATCAGTGCTTGTCTGCATATGCTGTTGGGTCTTAGTAGAAAATATTTCTGTGGAAGAAAAATTGGTTTGCAGTGCTTGCTGGCATTAAATTGATATGTGGTGCCCTTGGTTTAGCATTACAGTATCTTAACAAAAACCACCCTTATTTCATATCTGACTTCTTTGAGAAGGGATATCCTTAAATTTGCCTTTGTGTATGGACTCAATTCTTCATTGCAGTTGTTATGAGTTAAAAGGATTTTAGTATAAAAAGATTTGCTTCTTAAACACTGTTCACATCACAAGTTCACATCAAAGCTTAAAATTTCAGCGAACTTCCTATAAACAGCCAAGAAAGGGTTTAATGAAATGCTAAGGAAGAAATTGCAAGCGGTGATGCTGAAGATAGGAGCTGATGTTGCACTTTATAGTTATAGTATAGTATATATACTATAGTGTGTAGTACAAAAGGTTTTTTTAGATCACAGTTATCGTAGTAGATTTTATTTTAAACACTGGTGTTTGATTTCTGAATTGATGGTTTTGTGTGGAAAGTCATTTGGCAAATTAGATTCACTGATTTTTCTGTATGGTATTTTTCCTGGTGTCTCTAAATGCATTTTGGGATGCAATTTATGCCATTTGGTCAGTCAGTATTTTTGGATGGCTTTGTTTATTTTTTTATGAAGTATAATTTTTAATTTAATGCCGTACTTCATAATTGTGACTCTAGCTTCATTTGATGCAGTCAGCTCCTCTAAGAGACTTCATTCTTTGTGCCCCTCCCTTGAGCTGTAAGGTCTGGCAGTGAAAGATAAAGCAATTTGAAATTCATAAGGCACTTAAAGGAGCAAATATATGTTGTAATTGAAATTGCAGTAGTATGTCTTTTACTGAATTCACACAGCTATAATGTATTTTAAAGTCCCTTAGGGAAATATAAATGGCAGTGGGATCCAAACTGTTCTCGGTGGTTTTCAAGATTTCCCATTTCTTAACATATTTGTTTCCAGGACAGGGAAAGGCATGCTGCATTTTTTCCAGCACATGTGAAGTTGTTGCAGCAGCTGAGCTGACTGCATATCTTTCAAACCACATCCAGAGTTGGAGCGAGAGCCAAACCTACTGGCATAATTTTTCTTTCAGTGTTCCTGTTAGATAGAAAAATTATTACCTCAGTGGGGAAGAAATGAAAATATCAGTTGACTGATTGAAGCAATTGTATCTATTTAAAGTCCTATTCTATTTGTAGAGCTGGGGAAAACATTTAACAATTTTGTTTTCCTTTTTGTAGGAATAAAAAACTACTCCAACTGGCCTACCATCCCACAAGTATACCTCAATGGTGAATTCGTTGGTGGCTGTGATATCCTCCTCCAGATGCATCAGAATGGAGATCTTGTAGAAGAGCTAAAGAAGTTAGGAATCCGCTCAGCACTTCTGGATGCAGAAAAAGACCAAGAAAAAAAGTAAAATGAGGAAAAGAAAAAGATGCCTTGATGGGAAGAAATGAAATCTTTGATAAGAACTTGTAACCAGTAAAGCCTTATGTACTTCAGTTCAAAGAAGGCATCTTTTTACACTGACATTAAGATTTATCAGTGGATGTCTGTTAGCTCATGGTAAATGTAGTGATGTCAGTATTTTGATTTATGGATATTGTGAAAATTTGATTATAACCACTGTACTATAAAGCATACACATGTGGAAATTGTTTTTAAAAAAAGTGCACTTCTAAAAGGATTCTTTTGATTGATGCAGGAGTAAACCAAAAGAACTAATAATAATGCTATTTTTATTGATTTTGAGTGTTTCTTTGTTACACAAGCTTGTGCAAACAGTGTTTGCATTCCCTTGCTCTTGAAAAAGTGCTAAGTAGTGCTTGTGCATCTGTGGGTTTTCTTGGTTTTTTTTTTTTTTTTTTTTTTTTTTTTTTTTTTTTATAACTCCTGATGATAAGAATTCCCAAGAGCCTGTAAAGTTTCTGCTATCTCACATGATATAGGGGAAAATAGCCCTCAAACAGTGCATAAGAAATCACGGTATGAGAGTGCATGAAATACACTTTTGTTCCAAAGGGTAAAAATAAACACACTAGTACAAATACATGTATAGTGGTCATTTATTACTTTGTATCTTCCCATTAGCTTTTAAAGGACTGCTATGAATTGTGCCTGAAGATTTTTATAAAACCTTTTCTACCTCTTGCAGAGTGGCTTTTCCCTGTTTATATACTTGGTGTACTGCAGTTTCTCTGTCAGTTCTAGAATGTAGGAATTGTTAAGGCTTCAGTATTCTTGTTTGCAGTAGTACAGGAGAATACTTCAGTAGTTACTGTATTATTTGCTAGTTACTAAGTTATCTGTTTAGATCTGTTGTGTTTCCAAGTATTGTCTCTGCACAGCTGTGGTTCCTGCACTATGGTCTTCAGACAGGGGTTAAACAGTTTAAAGTTTCATTGGAGACGAGATCAAAAAGTACAGCAGAAGGGCTACTGAAAATAGCCAAAGTGTTTCTTTGTTGGAAGCTCTGGGAAGTCTTCAAGCAAGTATCTAACCTTGTTTTCCTGTGTGCAAATAAATAATCTTAAAACAGTGTGGCTTCACCTGGACAGTAATACTGCTAAGGATAAAAATTAATCACACTGTTTTTTAATGCCATTTACCTTTATGAATGCAGACCAAGGAATGGTTTGCGTGTGAGCTAAGCAAGTGATTGGAAATAAAGCGTTTCATGTAGATTGTCTGCAAAAGTTCCTTTTTATTTTAAATTACTATAATGAAACTGATGTTGCTTTTAATGTGAAATCTAAAACGTAAGGAAGAAAAAAAGAAACCTCACTGGAAGAGGAGCTCAGAACTGTAACTGGTAGAATGGGGGTTTTAATGCAAGTTTCAATTTTCTCTCTTTCGTGTCCACCAGAGCAAGCTGTCTAGTAGAGAAACTATGTCTGTGCAGCTTGAACAGAATTTGCAAAATGTGTACTGGTTACACTATATTGTATAGTTTACTGTTTAGTTCAAATGCAGTCAGTATATATTTATGTTTAAATAGCATCTCAGCTTAAACAGCCACTCAGCTTCACTACCAGTAGAAGTGACTTAAGCGTGAATGCTGATTATGAATAGGCTGTGCTCAGAGGCAGTCAGTTGTGATTATTAGTAATGTAGGTATAAGCACATGATTATTATTTTTTTTTTCATACACCATATCACATGAAATGCAAAGCTCTAGTTCAGTTTAACTTCTTGAAATTCTGATTAAATGAGTTTTCTTACAGCTAATCTTTGAGTGGTTCTTGCCATTCTAAATGTATGATGAGGTTTGGAAAAATAAATAAATTTCAAAGTTTTTGGTTATTTGTGTCAAAAGACCAACTGAGATGGTTGTATACTGTAAACAAAGATAAGGTAACTTGAAGAGAAGCTAATCATTTTCTACTTCAGTGTTTAATTCTTAGTCTGGCTACTACATCTACTTAAACAGCTGTTTCATGGTGCTTTATTCTTTTGTGAATGTTGAATATATTTCAATATTATTATCTGCTGCTGCTTTAACATAAAGGTGACTTTAGCATTGTCAGATCCTCTTTCTCTGAGCAACGTTTTTTTCTCCCTGCACAAACTCCTGCTGTTACTAGAACTATGAACAGTTTTTCTACTTTCTCTGTCTCTCTTAAAAAAGCAAAAGTTAAAATTTTGTACAGTATGTAGTGCTGTTTATATAAATCCTTGGCTTAATTAGAATATCGTAAGTGAAGAAGTGAAAAGGAAGAATGACGCCAAAAAGCCATAGGAACAGGAGCATAAAATTTGATTTCTGCCTGCATTCCTGGAGGAGATGTATCTTTCCAGGCTCTGTGCACGTGAGCTGTTGTTTTACTCGTTAACCCTGCGTAGATGCTCATACTATTGTCACTGCAATGTAAAAAAAAAAATCCTCTACTTAAGTGATAAAACTTTGGTTGCCTACAAAGAGGTTTATTTTGAGTGTTAATTGAGAATTTCCCCACAATTTAATTCTCTGGTTGATTGTTTTAGAAAACTGGTGCTACTCTTTTAAGGGAAAAAGAAAAAAAGGTAGTTGATGAATGATTTGCACCTGCTTTTCTCATACTCTGTGTAAAAGAGAGAACAGCTGCCAATGGTGGTGTCTGGAGTGTCTGGTGTCAGTTAATGGATATACCAAGCAAATTCTCAGGGATGTAAGCTTGAAGAGTCTGCGGTCTGGAGGATGTGAAGGGTTGGAAGGGAGAAAGGATGACTGCCCACAGTAGGAAATGTCAGGAAGCAGCAAGGGAAGGAATTATGCGGGAAGTGTTGGGAAAACCCCTGGGTAGTGCTGCTTGTATTCCTCTCATACAATAAAATAGTGCTCAGAAACACAGCTTGGGAAGGCTGGAGATACCAAGGAGGATGACTGAGAGCCAGCACAGAGCTCGCCTCGCTCTCTGTCTCTGAAGAACGAAGCAAAGCTACATGCTCCTGAAGTTTGCCATTGTACAAATACATCTCTATACAACAAGAATCAAGGCTGATAACGAGCATTGCCACCTGCACAGCTTCTGATCAATGTTGGGCACATCATGAATCCTCTGAATCCCACCCAATATTGCACTCTTCAGTTCTCATATGCCACCTTGGACATGTATTCCAGCTGGCTGTGCCTCCAGCAAGTTGCTTGTGGACTTGTTTGGGCTGTGTTGCGCTGCTGAGGGATTGCAATGAGAGGAATGTGTGTAAATCATTAACTGTTATTCTACTGCTTTAGGATGTAGTCCGAACATTTACCAAACTGGAAAGTTTCCTACTATTATTGTAACTTATACACTGAAACTGATATTTTCAGAGTATTCCTTTGGTGATGTCGCTGTGGTAAAAGGCTGAACTGAATGGACCACGTGCTCACATAAATTAAGGTAATCCTTTGCATCTGGTAGCACTTCTCACCTGTCACATATAAAACGAGGTGGTTTGATTTAAGCAAATGGAATCCTTTATGGAGTATGTGCAAGCTGTTTCCTCATCACTTAAACCTTCAGCGAAAAGGGGTGGGCTTCCTTGATCTTACTGAGTTAGTCAGAGGCAGAAGGAAGTAGGCTGCAACTGTCCGTTGTGTTGCTAGTTTTCATTTAGGGGAATTCAAATCAATTAAACTGAAAACTACTTCCTAGAAAAGTTGTTACCAGCTCCCAGCATCCTAATGGATTACAGGGTGTAGCGGAAATGCTGAGTCATGGCCTGAACCACTGATTGAGCACCTGGTGGGAAGGCAGTGCCAACCCAGCGGAGCGCAGGTGCAGGCAATGCAGCTGAGTGACTGGAAGGGTTGGAACCAGGATCCACCCCTTCCCAGACCTCATTTAAAGGTTGGCAGTGGAGGTGAGAGTGTCCTACTCAAGATCTTTGTAAGCCTGAGGTTTTCTGAGGTTAGTAGCTTCCTCCCCTCTCCCTTTCTGTTCTCACAGCTATTGCATTTGAACAAATCCTGCCTTGACACAGTCTAGGGCCTTGTTGCTGTGCTTTTTAGGAGTCCCTTGGGACTAATGAAGTGTGAAGGAAATAAAGTGTGGGGGAGTGTGAAAGTATTGTACCAACAAAAGCCTCTCTAAGCTGCCTGAACCTAGCTGAGGCCTTTTCAGTGCCCGCCTCTAAGAAGGGTGGTATCAAAATGCAAACTGCTGTTTGAGCAATAAGTCTCTGTCTAATTCAGTTTGTGTAGATGCAAAACTTAGCTCACAACAGGTATTTCAACATCAACGTTACAGGGTTGTGCGAGGAGAAAATGTTTATTTGTTATGAGGCAAGCACTGATTCCTCAAGTCTCTGAGAGCAAAAGTGGGAAGATGATGGATTAGAGGGTTTGAAGCTTTTGGGTTGTTCACGGTGTTGGCTGATGCATCCACTTCCCTTTTCATCTGAAAGAGTGATCATCCAGTTTCTCACTGTTGTTTCATTTTTTTGGAAGTGAAGGTGGTTTTAGCTGGGCTGTTGTATAAAATTTGTGATTGCTGTAGAGTGAGCCTGAGAAGAAAGGAGTGGTGTTGCATATAAGAAATTGAATATATTCATAGTTTCTATGATCCCTTTGATGAACCAGACATCAGAAATGCTGGCAGGGCAGCAGACTGCTGGCTTATCCTTCCTCCCAACAATAAAGAAAACCTTTTAAGGGCAGCTTTTATTCTTAAATTATTTAAATGTTTTAAGGCCTTTCAGGACAGAATAAATAAGCACACTAGACTTTTTAATAGAGGAAGTCACTTAAAGGTTGCTTCTTGAGCTGTTGAAGTATGTACCATAACTTCTGAAGTACTTTATTATCTTCAATATTCATTCAGAAACATCTTTATTAGTTAGACAAATTAATCCTCATGCGTGATGGAGAAATAGTATTTTTTTTTATTAATTGCAATCATTCTACATGTGAAACTATGTCAGTGCTCCTATGCATAGTGAGATATTTGCATTTGTGCGTATGTTTCTGTAGCACTCCGCTGTCTTTCTTGATGTTAAGCTTCCACAGGAGGTTGGTTCAACATTTTTTAAAGATGAGCTCCTGTAAAATTTTACTTTGTGTTTAATAGTAAGATGAATCAAAAGGGCTTTGCAGTATCGAGTTTAGAGGAAACATTAAATCACTCTTCCTTGTTATGAGTCCATTCTTCAAGGTCCAAAGGATTTTTTTTTGTACAGTTCAGCTTCAAAACCATGAAATAGAGCACCCATGTGTTCATTTTACAGGCCACAGTACACTGAAGCACAGATAAGTGATTTGCTAGTCATACTATAAATGCTACAAAGCTGAGAAAAAAGTTTTGGAGTCTTTTGTCTTAAGCCTATGATGCAGTAAGTGAAATGTGTTTTTTTTTTTTTAAAAGAGTATATCAGTGAGCATTTTTGAGTTCTCATGTCAGATCCACACTACAGTTTGTATTCTTAAAATACTACTTATCAGCCAAGAACTCCCTGCTGAACAGCCATACCATGAAAGCCAGTGTTTCTAGTCTCTGCTGCAGCACTCTGAGCCTGGCTCAGGGCTGGATCCTGCTGCCGAACCACCCAGGAGATGGTGCTCTTGAACCGGAGATAAGCGCACTGCTGACCCAGAAGCATCCCCAAACGCAGCCCTCCCTGTTTTTCCTTTGTGTTGCATGCTCTTTTTGGGGGTTCCCATTTCCTCTGGGGAGGAGAATGTGAAGATGTTGTGTACGGAGCATATTCCCATCTGATCCATAATGTGATTTCCAGCCTGGTGATCCTACACCCTGCCTGAAATGACGCTAGTGCTTGTAGGAGGTGTTTTTCTCTGGACTGTGAGACTAGTGAGATGCTGAAGCTGAGCACGGAACAGATTCGCAGCTGATTGCCCTCATTGGAGCCTGGGACGTGCTGTGCCCAAGCCAAGCATCTGAGGGGTGCCAACTCCATTGCTGCCAAGGTTCGGAAATCCATGCTCGTGTTTGGGGCTCCCTGTGGCCTCCTCACTGGGACAGCCTATAACCATTGACACGTGTCTCAGAGGTAAGGGCGGTTCCGTGTTGGTGGGGGTCCTGAGTTTGGCCCTATGGTGCTATTAGGCTACTGTCCCCTGGGATGTGTGGCGCACAAGGGGTTGAGGTGCCACTTGGGCACACAGCTTGGAGATACCCTCACCTTGGATTGCTGAGGTTGGAAGGGGGAATTTGGATGTGGTTTGGAGCACAGTGTCTGAGCAGGGGAGTGGCAAGAAGTCAGGTGGCTGCAGTGGAATTTTCTGCTGATTTGCCATCTTGTTGGTTTCAGGGGCTTTGAATTGGGTTGGAAAGGACCAAAAGTAGCCAGATCTGAGCAGCCAGTGCTCGAGTGGGCCTTGGCAAAACGGGAAATAGAAAAACTTCTTAGCAGTGTCTTTCCTCAATTGCCAGAGAAGTTATGACTTTTTTTTTTTGCAAATGTATCCAATGAGTGAGGTTTTATTTTATATAAATCCACTAAGTCTTTTACCTGTTTTCTATTTGAGCTGGCACCACCAAAGCAGATCTTTAAGTACTGAAGCAGAGGCAGGCAGCAGAGAATACTGCTGCTGTTGTGGTGGCTTATAGGGCCTGGGTATATAAACTGCACCCTGCCTCAGAAGCTTGACAAGCTCAGTTCTGCTGCTCTGTGGCTACAGATACTGTGTGGTGGGTGCAGGATAGCAGAGCCACTGCTTACAGCCCTGCTGGGGCCAATCCATAATGCCAGAGTTACCCTCGATGTGTTGTGTGTCTTCTCTTCCTGAGTAGTTAACGATAAATCAATGCTTAGCTTTACCAGTGGCAGACAGAGCAGTATTAATTCTTGCTGTTATTTCTATGGCCAGAGGTAATTTTTTTTAGTTCTTTTCTCCCCAATTATTTACTGCTAATGAATGATTTAAAGCTCTGCCAGTGCATCTTGAGGTCTTCTCCTGCTTGAGTAATCACCTGGCAGCTCAAAGAGGGGGAGCTGGGCAGGGATGGTGGGGCAGCTCTGTTGCTTGCTGCTAATGAGGCCTTGTCAGTGAGAGGGAATTAAAGAAAAATTAAAAAAAAAAGCTTCTACCTATTTAGTAATAAGTAAAACAGAATGAAATAGCCTGAAGCAAGTCTGCTCAGACACCTTTACTTTTTGCAGAGATATGATGTATGATTTAGCCAGCCCTGCTGAAAAGCTGTTCAGTTCTGTGGGGCAAGTGAAGCCTGACCTCAGCCACCAATGACTGAGAGCTATGAACAGGAGAAGATCTAGGACTCACATGGTGACTTCAGCTCAATCAACACAATTCTGCACAATTCTGTCTAAGAAAAATAACTTCTTCCTATATTTGAAAGGGGTATCTGGGCTGGCACCAGGCTGTAGCAAATATACTTTTCTTTTAGGGGCTCTACTCTATTTTGCACTAAAATCTCTTGGACAAAACAAAGCACTAAGAATCAGACTAATGACTCAAACCTGGGTGACCTGTCTCCTCTGAGACCCCAAGCCATCAAGAGTTAATCCTTCGCATTGCCATTCTTCCTGAACTGGGAACTCTGCTCCAACAAGAGGGAGAGTGTGTGCCTCTTCTTGATAGTTGTCACCCCAACTTGTGGCTGGGTGCTTCCTGTAAGTTGGGCTGTGTTGGTTGGGCCTCTCTTGTGTTCAGCCTTGCTGTGTCCAAATGCAAGTAAGGCAGCTTCTGTCAGCCGGTTGTTTCTGGTGTAGGTGATGTGCTCCAGGTTGGCTACTTGCTGCCTGGTTTCTACTTCTGGCAAGTCTAAACAAGGTATATGTACCTGTCTATTCAGCCTGAATCAGAGTCAATGTAGGTATGGGATTTCAGATCAAGGTTACCTGTTTTACGTGTTAACATCCTGATAGTTGGCTCTTGATCCTAAACAATGTGCAGGAAGGAATTCAAGACAATCGTTGCGTCTGAAGCTGCTTTAACATAATATGGTCCTGTAGTTTGGTGTGAGAGGAAGTACTGGAAGTGATTGTGAAATCTGAACTTCAGAGCGAGCAGGTTTCAGTAACGTAGGGTTAATCAAGAAAACTCCTGAAGGAGAAATATAAAAAGTATCTATAAAGATAACATAGATTGAAGTGAAGAATGGATAATAGAATCTGGAGGGCATATATGTTGCTGAAGAAAATGATATTGGGCAGGAAAAGAGTAAACCAGTACAACTGAATGGCAGCTTTGAGAGGTTTGTTGGGTTTTCTCTCTCTCTTTTTTTTTTTTTTTAATCTAAAGGAAATCATTCCCAACTTTAAGCTTTCCTATACAATGGTGCATTAATTAGTGTAAGGGCTCAATGTGAGAGGGAATTAAAAGGAAATGTAGTAGACTGCAAGTATCTAGAGGGATAAAATAAAAATGCTTTAGGTTTATTCATATTCTGTCAAATGATAACTGGTAGTTCAGAAAGTGGACCACTAAAGATTAAAGCTAGAAATTAAAGATGATAAAACATTACGGAGAATCTAAATGATTTCCTTGCATCAGTCTTCAGCACTGAGAGTATTAGAGCCGTACCTACTGGGACTTGTTCTTTTCTAGTAATCAAGATGTGCCAGAAGAAGAGCTGGAACAAATCAATAACTTAAAAATCAGTAAGTCACCAGCTCCAGATGATACTTTAAAGAGTTCTGGAGGAACTTGGTATGAGATAGCTGAACTGCAGCAAAAATGCGCTTTCCATAATTTTCAATAGCTATTCTGTTGGAGAAATGGAGAAACAACAATTACACCTGTAATTTAAAAACAGGATTGTGATGGTCTGTGGAAGCATACCGTTTACCAAGCCATACATTTATGCTTTATAAGCTGTTTGGAAAGGGAACCGAACATGTCAGGATCTAAAGGGTAAGACTTTTGCGTCTTACAATTAGTCCTCACCTTTGTTGTTATTCCAGCTGAGCTAATTGAGTTATGGACAAGAAGAGGCAATTACTCTAATTTAGCTAAACATCAAAGTACCTTTGACCTGTGTAGGATATTGTAAATCAAAGAGAGGGGAGCTTATTGCATAGATCTTGGCTTATGGGACCAGGCTAGGCTGAATGTTCACAAAGGCCTGACTATCCTTGTCACTTCCATGCTGCATTGGACCTGTGGCTTTACTTCTCTGGGATGGTGTGATCCCACTCAGGTGACACTAAGACCCACTTCCAGATGCCCAGAGAAGTGAGAAACTAAGAATGGGAGGGTTATCAATTTCAAGCCTCCGAGACAGATGCAGGAATTCTGCTAATCTAAGTTGGGGTAGGGGTCAGAAAAGGTGAATATTGGTAAGAAAGCTGACATGCAGAGGTTCTTCTGAGGAACTGAAAAGGAATTGAGATCCAAATGGGGAATTGTTAAGTCAGTGGAAAGAAAGGCTCTTTTTACAGCATAGAAATGTGCTGCTGCTTTAGGATGATGTGGAATGATTTTTTTTTTTTTTTTTTTTTTTCCAAACTATTGGAAGAAATCACTGCAGTTTTTCACAACTTCAGCCAGTGTGGGTGTAGCTTTTAGTAAATCTCAGGACTACTACTTTCTTATTTCTGCTACTTATTCTTTTGTTTTTGCCTTTGCAAATCCTCCTACTGTTTCTTCTCATTTCTATTTCCATGTATTCTAAGATCTCCCTTCCCTCTCTCTCAGATGTGTGAGGATGCTGCTCCTCACATCACTGCCAGCCAGCTCACAGCTGTATTGACTCTGGTGCAGAGCCACTCAATTAGGCCAGCACTGCTAATTAGAAAGCATAGGATGCAATGTCTTGGTTTAGAAATCTGTATGTCTCAATATGCATTGTACTCTGCTGATTGGGAAATGCTGATTTATAGCAATGTTAAGAGATGCAATCTAAAAAACACAAACAGATTTACAGGCTTCTGAAATAGCCCTGCTGCCTTTTTCTGCACTGTTCTGTACAATTATTCTCACATCAGTAGGTTCTAGTCTCAGCGTTTCTAGTGTTTCACTGGGCATTTTGTAGGGAGCAGTGTCAACCACAAGATGCCGGGAGAAGTGCTATATTATGGATGATAAATGAGAATGTAGATTTTTAAGAAATCTGTTTCACAATTGCATTTAAATTTTCTGTGCAGTCATAGAAAGGAGGAAATGATGGTGTGCATGTGTCCGGAGCACCTTTCAAATCAGCTGATTTAGATGCTAACTTGGTCTGCCCTGTGCTGCCATGGCTAGAGCTGCCTGATTCTGATACTCTGCTTCCTGAATCCCCAGGGTCCGGCTGCTCAGCTGTCTCAGAGGTCCTTCATGGGAAAGGTCTCCCTTCCATGAGCACAGTAGTTGTGGCTTATATTGTAGGACGAGGGGAAATGGTTTTAAGTTGAGGGAGGGGAGATTCAGGTTGGACGTCGGGGAAGTTCTTTACAGAGAGAGTGGTGAGGTACTGGAACAGGCAGCCCAGAGAGGTTGTGGATGCCCTGACCCTGGAGGTGTTCAAGGCCAGACTGGATGGGGCCCTGGGCAGCCTGGTCTAGCATTAAATGGGGAGGTTGGTGGCCCTGCATGTGGCAGGGGATTGGAGATTCATGATCCTTGAGGTCCCTTCCAACCCTGGCCGTTCTGTGATATTGTCACAGTAATTCAGCAGCTTGGAATGACAATTTGGAAAGGTGTAGACTTGTGAGTGTTCTCCAGATTCAAATGGAGGCAAATTGCTAATCCTTCAGGCTTGTTAGGTTTGTGTCCCACCTTCCCATTTATGAAAGCACCTGGTAACTGTGTTTGTTGTGAGTGCAACAGAACTAAGACCTTATAGATATTATGAATCACGTGTACATAAATACCTCCATCAGATGCTTCTCTAGAGCTTGTTTCCATGCCTGAGACTCAGACCAACACAAGGTGATTGTGTTTCCTCTGCATCAGCAAAACAGCAGGCAGCTCTGACATCTCTTCCCACATCCAAAGCTCCTCTGAGCTGGGTAAAGCAATAAAGCATTGGAACTGTTGTTGATTGAGCAATTATCAATTTCTCAAAGCTGCTTTACTCATTTTTACTCATGGAAAACCTTCCTTC